AGGGACGACATCGTGAGTGTGCCCGGGATTTCTCAACGGCGGCGGATGTTCGTTCCGCGTGATCGTGGTTTTCGCTAAGCATGCTACTGACGCCTGGTGCACCCGCGGCGACGGCGTCAGGGACGACATCGTGAGTGTGCCCGGGATTTCTCAACGGCGGCGGATGTTCGTTCGGCGTTATCGTGGTTTTCGCTAAGCATGCTACTGACGCCTGGTGCACCCGCGGCCACGGCATCCGGGACGACATGGTGAGTGTGCCCGGGATTTCTCAACGGCGGCGGATGTTCGTTCCGCGCGTTCGTGGTTTTCGCTAAGCGTGCTACTGACTCTGGTGCACCCGCGGCGACGGCATCCGGGACGACATCGTGAGTGCGCCCAGGATTTCTCAACGGCGGCGAATGTTCGTTCCGCGCGTTCGTGGTTTTCGCTAAGCGTGCTACTGGCGCCTGGTGCACCCGCGGCGACGGCGTCAGGAACGACATCGTGAGTGTGCCCGGGATTTCTCAACGGCGGCGGATGTTCGTTCCACGTGATCGTGGTTTTCGCTAAGCGTGCTACTGACGCCTGGTGCACCCGCGGCGACGGCGTCAGGAACGACATCGTGAGTGTGCCCGGGATTTCTCAACGGCGGCGGATGTTCGTTCCGCGTGATCGTGGTTTTCGCTAAGCATGCTACTGACGCCTGGCGCATCCGCGGCGACGGCGTCAGGAACGACATCTTGAGTGTGCCCGGGATTTCTAAACGGCGGCGGATGTTCGTTCCGCGTGATCGTGGTTTTCGCTAAGCGTGCTACTGACGCCTGGTGCACCCGCGGCGACGGCGTCAGGAACGACATCGTGAGTGTGCCCGGGATTTCTCAACGGCGGCGGATGTTCGTTCCGCGTGATCGTGGTTTACGCTAAGCGTGCTACTGACGCCTGGTGCACCCGCGGCGACGGCGTCAGGGACGACATCGTGAGTGTGCCCGGGATTTCTCAACGGCGGCGGATGTTCGTTCCGCGTGATCGTGGTTTTCGGTAAGCAGTCTACTGACGCCTGGTGCACCCGCGGCGACGGTATCAGGGACGACATCGTGAGTGTGCCCGGGACTAATCAACGGCGGCGGATGTTCGTTCCGCGTGATCTTGGTTTTCGCTAAGCATGCTACTGACGCCTGGTGCACCCGCGGCGACGGCGTCACGGACGACATCCTGAGTGTGCCCGGGATTTCTCAACGGCGGCGGATGTTCGTTCCGCGTGATCGTGGTTTTCGCTAAGCATGCTACTGACGCCTGGTGCACCCGCGGCGACGGCGTCACGGACGACATCCTGAGTGTGCCCGGGATTTCTCAACGGCGGCGGATGTTCGTGCCGCGTGATCGTGGTTTTCGCTAAGCATGCTACTGGCGCCTGGTGCACCCGCGGCGACGGCGTCAGGGACGACATCCTGAGTGTGCCTGGGATTTCTCAACGGCGGCGGATGTTCGTTCCGCGTGATCGTGGTTTTCGGTAAGCAGTCTACTGACGCCTGGTGCACCCGCGGCGACGGTATCAGGGACGACATCGTGAGTGTACCCGGGATTTCTCAACGGCGGCGGATGTTCGTTCCGCGTGATCGTGGTTTTCGCTAAGCATGCTACTGACGCCTGGTGCACCCGCGGCGACGGCGTCAGGGACGACATCCTGAGTGTGCCCGGGATTTCTCAACGGCGGCGGATGTTCGTTCCGCGTGATCGTGGTTTTCGGTAAGCAGTCTACTGACGCCTGGTGCACCCGCGGCGACGGCGTCAGGGACGACATTGTGAGTGTGCCCGGGATTTCTCAACGGCGGCGGATGTTCGTTCCGCGTTATCGTGGTTTTCGCTAAGCATGCTACTGTCGCCTGGTGCACCCGCGGCGACGGCGTCAGGGACGACACCGTGAGTGTGCCCGGGATTTCTCAACGGCGGCGGATGTTCGTTCCGCGTGATCGTGGTTTTCGCTAAGCGTGCTACTGACGCCTGGTGCATCCGCGGCGACGGTATCAGGGACGACATCGTGAGTGTGCCCGGGATTTCTCAACGGCGGCGGATGTTCGTTCCGCGTTATCGTGGTTTTCGCTAAGCGTGCTACTGACGCCTGGTGCACCCGCGGCGACGGCGTCAGGGACGACATCGTGAGTGTGCCCGGGATTTCTCAACGGCGGCGGATGTTCGTTCCGCGTTATCGTGGTTTTCGCTAAGCGTGCTACTGACGCCTGGTGCATCCGTGGCGACGGTATCAGGGACGACATCATTAGTGTGCCCGGGATTTCTCAACGGCGGCGGATTTTCGTTCCGCGTGATCGTGGTTTTCGCTAAGCGTGCTACTGACGCCTGGTGCATCCGCGGCGACGGTATCAGGGACGACATCGTGAGTGTGCCCGGGATTTCTCAACGGCGGCGGATGTTCGTTCCACGTTACCGTGGCTTTCGCTAAGCGTACTACTGACGCCTGGTGCATCCGCGGCGACGGCATCAGGGACGACATCGTGAGTGTGCCCGGGATTTCTCAACGGCGGCGGATGTTCGTTCCGCGTTATCGTGGTTTTCGCTAAGCGTGCTACTGACGCCTGGTGCATCCGAGGCGACGGTGTCAGGGACGACATCGTGAGTGTGCCCGGGATTTCTCAACGGCGGCGAATGTTCGTTCCGCGTGATCGTGGTTTTCGCTAAGTGTGCTACTGACGCCTGGTGCATCCGCGGCGACGGCATCCGGGACGACATCGTGAGTGTGCCCGGGATTTCTCAACGGCGGCGAATGTTTGTTCCGCGCGTTCGTGGTTTTCGCTAAGCGTGCTACTGTCTCTGGTTCGCCCGCGGCGACAGCATCAGGGACGACATCGTGAAAGTGCCCGGGATTTCTCAACGGCAGCGAATGTTCGTTCCGCGTGTTCGTGGTTTTCGCTAAGCGTGCTACTGGCGCCTGGTGCACCCGCGGCGACGGCGTCAGGAACGACATCGTGAGTGTGCCCGGGTGGTTCTCAACGGCGGCGGATGTTCGTTCCGCGTGATCGTGGTTTTCGCTAAGCGTGCTACTGACGCCTGGTGCACCCGCGGCGACGGCGTCAGGAACGACATCGTGACCCGATCGAAAAGACCATCAGGTTTTCCTGATGGACCATCAGAGTTTCTTGATGGTCCATCAGACTTTTCTGATGGTCCATCAGGTTTCCTGATGGACCATCAAAGAAGTCTGATGGCCCATCAGCCCACTCCTGATGGACCATCAGCCCATTCCTGACGGACCATCTGACTTTCCTGATGGACAATTAGACTTCTTTGATGGCCCATCAGGCTTCCTGATGGACCATCAAGAAGGTCTGATGGACCATCACGAAGGTCTGATGGACCATCAAGAAAGTCTGATGGACCATCAGCTCATTCTTGACGCACCATCCGACTGTCCTGATGGACCATTAGACTTCTTTGATGGCCCATCAGGCTTCCTGATGGACCATTAAGAAGGTCTGATGGACCATCAAGAAGGTCTGATGGACCATCAAGAAGGTCTGATGGACCATTAAGAAAATCTGATGGACCATCAGCCCATTCTTGACGCACCATCCGACTGTCCTGATGGACCATCAGATGCGTTTAGATGGTCCGTCAGAAGTTCCTGACGGCGCCTAATGGTCTGTTAAACACTCTTGATGGGATGTCAGAGGTAGTCTAATGGTCGTCAGAAGTTTTATGTTTCACTTCGGTTCCATCAAAAGCGCCTTATTTCCCAGCCGTCGGGACTTTCTTTGCGCACAATGTTTATCAAAAGTGCTTGATTAATTGTTGCTCGCGGTATTCTGACGGCGCCGTCAGAGGCGTTTAATAACAATTGATATATGGGTCGCCACATATTTGCCAGCACGTGATGAGTCGCGGGCTCGCGAGGTGCTGACACAACTATATGTCACGCGATTTGTCTTTACTCACTGAGTCCCCGATTCACCGGCAACTGTGCGTTCGTCTGCAATCACGCACCGTGGAAACCCGTACTCACGGTAGGGTTCATCGTTTCGCATATGCTTCATCTACGCCTTTCATTACCAACGGAAGGTGGACAGACTTTTCGTCGACACATTAATATTTATAGACACGGCACCCCCCGAGCCCCGCAACCGTTGTGAGCATCGGACGGTCGCGGCGGCAATTAAGTTCAGCTTCCAAACAGACCGCGCGGCCATTGCTTTGCTTTACTTTGCTCGAAGGTTAAATAGTCGGAGGAATGCGCCACCGCCTCGCTGAATGAGCTGCCCAAAGTCGAGGAGGCTCCGCAACTTTGCACGCTACAAAATAGGCGATTTGAGGTTATGTCGCGATAAAAAAAGCTGTCGTTGAATCTCGCGTATGATATATGATGGGCCGCAGCCGCGTGGTCAATGGGTTGATGTGATTTTTTATTAAGGAAAGGCCTTATATGTCTCGTCGTTCAGACGACCTTAAAAGTTCTTGAGCGGAAACACGTCGAGTCACGAAAGGTGCTAAAACCGGCGACACGAAAGGTAGAAAAACCTGCATTATTCAGTATTCAGCTGCACTAGAACCCTTTTGGACCAGGGTGGTCGTTAACGAAGCAGCTTCGCAGGGGTTTTAGATTTAATTAAAGTTTTCAACACCACCGCCACCATCATAAATATAATAAAAATAAAAAAAAAAAAAAAAAAAAAAAAACTTTCTTTCTTTTCTCGGGGGAATCGAACCAGTGACCTCTCGATCCGTATGCCGACGCGCTACCCCTGCGCCACGAGCGGAGGACTGTCGAAGGTCGCGTAAATTATGAATTAGTCTTTAATGTATCGGCTACTGCCGACGCATCGGCTACTTGCGGCGCCAGTTTCTTTACACGCAGTGTTGACACTTGAAAGATTTCTCTAAAAAATGTTCTCATTCAACTTCATACGCAGTGTTCGACACTCGACGATCCGTTAATTTTAATGTATACTTTATATTTTGAAAGACGTTCGCCGCTTATATCCGTTCGACCAAAAGCTTCGAATCCAAATCCAAATCCAGTTGTTTCGTGCGCTTTGTTGCCTCGGCAGCCTCACCCTTCCTCGTGGAGTGTTTTCGAGGTTTTAGATATTTCGGTAGGTTTCACTCGATTTTGCGAGAACGGAGAAATAAGCGACGTCCACAGGGCTTTATTTAAAAACTGCAATCCTTCGAATGTGGTCGACTTCGAGCGTAGGACGGCGTACAAGGTGTCTTGGGACGGCGACGCGAACACTCGAGGAGGCTATTACGACGCCGAGATCCTCGAACTGACGGGTGATTGTGTATTTTTTACCATCCCAAAGTGCGACGTAGCCACAAGCAATCGCCGTTTTCTTTCTTTTTTATTGCGACTGTAATTAAAAGTGAATATTGTAGACTGCTTAGATGGGGCACCAAGCTAGGCAGATGAATGCATGGGCTAATACTTCAGTTGAGCGTGTGGACTGAACTGCCTTGCACGTGACACCATATGGCACCCTACAAGCCGCCATTGCTCCTGTGCCTTAAGTCCGCGCTAATTTGCTCGTACTCCACCGTTCCGAGTTTCACACTCCGGGCGCAGCAACTAAACGAAGCATAGCGTACAGTAGCGCAACACACCGAAGCTGTCGGCGAGCTGTATGAGCCACTTCTGACCACAGTTTTATGACGAACCCAGCATCTCGCGGATGCCAAAATTATTTTGAAGATAAAATTAATTAAGGGCTCTGTAAAATGGTAAAATAAAAGCCCCCCCCCCCAAAAAAAAAAAAGAAAAAGAAAAAAGAAAAGAATTGCGCGGCGACGTTACGAAATTTTTACGAATGTTTTAATATTTGTGAAAGGTTTGAAGACTCGCTTCGACCAGATATGCTGAATGTTACTTTGACCGATCTATTTATTGACCATGCATGCTGTTTAGATTCAAATGAAAGACAGCATTCTTGAACTCGCTTGTCAAAACAAGAAACTCTCAAACTTGTCAGATATCTTGGGTTTCCGTCTTCCAGCGCGCGACGGAACCTGTCGATGTGCTACTCCAATACTGGCACACCACCGTTCAATAAATAGCACATTAATTAGTTTGCAGGCGAGATGCAGGGACAAACTTTTCCCGCAACGTTTTCGCTTTCCAATCGAACTATCTTTATTCGCTGGGCTGTGCATTCTACAAAGGGCAGCGATCGGACTGTCCTCTCATCTCGACAACTTTTCTGTCGCTGTACCATCATAATGCTACTGTTCGATGGGTAATTCGTTTTCAGGTGAGATTCGGGAACAAGCCCTTTCCGTAATGGTCCTGGCTTTGAAATCAAATCATTTTACTCGCTGGGTTAAGCATTCTTCAACTGAAATGAGGCAGCGATCCACTGCACTCCTCGTCTCGGCGACGTTTCTGTCAGCGCGAAGAAATGACTTGCACTTCGAGAAATACTCGGTGCAAAAAGAGCACGCTTGAGTGTCAGTCCTTTGGTGGCGCTTCTGTCCATTTAATGAACAGAGCGCCAAACTCTTGCGCTCCGCAGCACAAACCTAGGCGCACAATCGTAGCTGATTCAATGTCAATTCATGCGAGTCATATAATACATGGCTTGCATTGATGTTGCATCAGCTGCCATTGCTTCCTGACCAATTTATTTATTCATGATCACAAATGTACAGTCGGGGACAAAAGTCCCCAGGACGTGCTAGCTGCGGCTGAAACCCATTGCTCTGCCACCTGCCGGCGGGTCGCCTGGTTTCGAGATCACACAAAAGCGCACGCGCGTCCCACTCTGCCTGCAAACATGTGCGTTTCCTGCTCTTCTGCAGCACAGCACCTAACTAGGAATCGGGCACATGGTACTGCCTCGGAGATAGCGCTGGCGGCTGACGAGCGTCTGCTATACATTCCAAAACTCGAGATACCGCCTGGGGCATTGCGCCACATTTCGTCGTGTCAGCGCACCTTGCTTTATAACCAGTTCAGCTTATCGCTTAATTGAGCTGCCGTGACTTCTTGCTTTATAGGTCAGTAAGCACTATCTACGAAGTGGTACCACGCGCCCGATTCCGAGTTAGGCACCGCGCCGCAGCAGAGCGGGAAAGCGCACACGTTGGCAGGTACAATAGGACGCACGTGCGCCCTTCTGTGATCTCGAAACCAGGCGACCCGCCGGCAGATGGCAGATGAATGCGTTTCAGTCGCAGCTTGCGGGACCTGGAGACTTTTCTCCCCGACTGTACCTACGAGAAACCCAAGAGGAAATGGCAACTGAACTGGCCAGGCGCAAACAGGCAGCTGAAGCATCTGCAAGTTCACACAAAGCTGCTCCTCCCAGGAACGTCAGCCCTTGTGCCCTCTAACGCAAAGCAGTTTTTGTGGAAATTTTGTCACCAGAATATCATTACCTGTCTATGTAATGTGGTACATCCTATTTTTTCTGGGAGTGTCCAAAAGCTAAATCTTAGCGCTAATTAAATTTTTAGATGCGGTTTATGTCAGGACAAAAGCTGAAAGTGACGATGTTGCAAGGCTCTCAAAAGCAGTGCCAGCCACATATGGCTAGCAGCAACCGAAACGGACACACAACTGACCAATCCAACTGATGCAGAAAGAGAGCTGGTCGTGCACAAAATGTGAGTGTGGAAAGCAGCTTGGGAATCCCAACACTGCGTAATGTAATGTCGAGTCCTTAACATTTATACTTCCTTGGGATTGCTATGTTTCACCACTCAGTCAAGGCTTTGCAGTTTACCAAGCCTTCTTTATTTCACAAAGGCCAGTAAAGCAGTCGGGAGTGACAAGGAAGACAAAGAATCAACTAATTCACAAAAAAAAAAGAAAAATAGAGCAGGGATCCAGTTTGATGCCGGCAACATTGTGTTGTCATGATTTGTTGATGAGGAATGCCATGCTTTCTGCCTACACCCCAATGTGCGTGAGTAATGCTGCTAGGGGGCACACCGGCAGAAACACCTTTCTCTGACTTACCCTGCTCTATCAATAGCAGGACTACCTGCGGCTCGGCTGTTGATGCGGGAGGTGCTGTAGGGCCCTACTGCCTAACACGTGAGTCATTTATGGCCTGACCTCTGGGTACTCGTATGTTTACCGTACTAACAGAACCCATGCTTTAGCATTAAAAAGGTAACTTTTGTAATGAACCTGCAGTATATGAAAGAAGTTTGCTGTGCGGTGATAGAGCCGAACATGTCATATGCAACACATGGCTTATATCTTGCATAGAGGATATTCATTCATAAAGGGTGGAAACAATAATGCTGAGAAAGAAGGCATAAACGGCAAAGAGCTCTCTACTCTACTGTTGTGACTGCGCTCTGTTGCTGAGCAGAATGACCGAGGAATGTCCTTCCTACGTCATGACTACGTAGCAAGTTCCCCAATGTTGCTAGATTACCTCCCAAATAAGCTCCACATGCATCCACCAGGTGCACATTGAAAGATTGTTTGATTAGCTTTAAAATTAGTTTGCTTGTGCCCTTCAGCAAAAGACTGGTATTTTTGAGGTTATGTTGCAACCTGCAACTCATTAAAGCGATAAAATGAGCGCTGGAATTTGGTTTATGTACCTCTTTAATGTGAAATTGTTTTTTTTCAGTTGCTGACGAGGACATCCTTGCAAAGAATGAGATCGTGGATCCTAGCATCGGCCTCCAGAAAAGGAAGGAATGGTGAAATAGAAAAACTTTTCACTTTCATTCAGTGTGTAATATACATTAAAAGAGTTTAGGATAGTGCAGGTGTGGCCAGAGTGACATGGAGTTAGAGCCGCAGACAAAACTACGAAAGTTTAGAGTCGCTGGAAAAAAGAAAGGGGGAGGGGGCTTCTTTTAACAAGAAACAATATGGAGGGAACAGTTATTTCCATAGAGGACAAGTATAATGGGCGATAACAACAAATGACACTCTGCATCAGAAGGTCCTTTCCACTGCTAAGCAAAAATTAATACACGATTCACTAGCCAGTCACTGCCCCTGACAACTGTTATGCGTATACGGTTGAAAGTCTTTCTAGAACAATAAAGGAAACAGGGTCACTCGACGCATCTATGGCAAAAAGCATTCCAGGTGTATATATGTAGTGTGTTGCCAGGCTGCCAAGACTTGTAGCTCTTTCTAAATTCTAGAACCCTTTTCGTCTAGGGGACACGTTTTCCAGGGAGCCGCGAGCTGAAATTGGACCCGCAAAGAGCCGCGTGCGGCTCGCGAGCCTCGCTTTGGCCACTCCTGAGATAATGTAAGCACAGTTGATTGAATCGATTGCAACAAGAACTCATTAAAACATTATTGTAGCCTGGCTCTTAATTGTAGTTACAGCCAGTGCCTGGAAAACATTCTGTTGTCATGCTCACCTGATGCAACTAAGGGATTATGTAGCTGTTTCATGCAGATGCCATGAAGCTTTGTAGGCCCATCAGCTTCGCAGACGCCCATGAAGATAGGAATTCATGTGTAGTGCTGTCTTAAATTTAAAGGCCTAAATTTCATTAATGTAATCATTTTAGTGCGTTTTCAACGCATCTTGGAGTATACGGTACCACTCTACGTCAACGACTGGTATATGTGAAGCTGTTTCTCGCTTTTGTTTATAACAGATCCATGTTGGGCAAGGTGTGCACGTCAACCAGGAATGCGGGCAACATGCGGAAAGCAGAGTGCGACTCCATGTTTTGCAAGATCACTGCTGCTTCCATAGGGTGAGTGGAAGTGCTTTTGGAGAGGTCGGTGACCGGCACCCTCTCCAACAAGGCAAAGGCAGCGAGGCAAGAGAAGGCGTTTGCACCGCTCACTCAGCGCAAGGTGCAGGCTCTCTCATTAAGCAAACATTTTTAAAATCTTGATATGAATCTCGTGGAGTCGCGTAAAATATTTCATGCTAAATTCGTACCAACGAAAGCAAAACAAAATATATATTTTGAAACACAAGTAATGCATGAATGTGCATTTATTTATGGCAGAAAATATCTTGTATGCAATTTACACGATTCTAACACGCCCCCGATAGTAACACGCGGTTATAATCAACCCACGAATGTTTAAAAAATGAATTAATGTCGATCCTACTGCGCAGATAAATGTCGATTCTACTTCGCAGATAAAATAATGACGGCTGAACAACATACACTTTGTGGAAAACATTTTATCAAATGCACATACTCGGAAAGTGCCTACACTATGTGCTGTTGAAGCCCTACATCAAAAACTTGCAAGCAAAAATTCGGTTTCTTTGTCTTTCCAACCAAGCTCGCATGTCACAGTGGACCACACCGAAGACACCACCAACATCACTCGGTTTTTTGTTTTTGCCAACGCAGTTACTTTGTTTTTTAGACATAACCTTATAGTAAGATCGGTTTTGCTTTGCCAAGGCTGAAACACCATTCCACGAGATCGCAAAAACAAAAAAGCGATTTTGGATTCAGATTGGATTGGATTTGAAACATGTGTTGATGGTGATGGGGCTGTCCACTTTGCACAGTTTGTTTAGCATTTTGTTTAGTTTGTGTTTTTGGGTCCGATTGTAACATGCGTGTAATTTTGAGCTCCAGTTTTTGGGTAAAGTGCGGCTGATCCCTGGCAGCAGCAGGCAATCAGCCGCCCGGAGCCTTGAAAGCTTACAGTCGCCGATCGTGGCCTCCTTGCCACTATCAGTTGTGGAGCACACATTCGTATCAGCCGTCGCAGCGCGTAGAGGAATTCGGAACACCCAAGAATTTTCACGTCGTACACAATGCACTTCGGCCGGGGAATTTGTGAATTTGTTTTATTCCAAAATTCGTACCAGTTAGTATCACCAAGGTTTTACTCTAGTAGGTTGTCTGCTAACACCTGGACATGTGATGGGGGTACCCCGCCAAGAATGAGTCAATCATAACAGATAATAACCGTAAATAATCGAAGATTTGTATTTTGAACAGATAATTTTATTTTTCGTTCTGAGCAACAAACTCGAGCAAGTGCTCGAAGAGAAGTCAACGGAGAGCTCGATGCGTCGTGGGCTAGCCAGCAAACCTGGCGTGGCTACGAGCTGTGCCGTTCGGGTGCATAGTGTTTGTGTAGACGTGTTACAGCCTAGCCATTTGAAACACCTGTGGGCTTTACGTGGACCAAAGCGGACTAAGCCGTCTAAGCGCCTATGTGTGAGATAAGTAATGTCAAGGTCATCGCGTTCAGGGCGAGATTACTCCAACAGTTGAGTATACCTCCAAACAGCGGCGCTGCTCCGATGTGTAGTGCAGCTACATAGCGGTTTTCGCCATGTCACGACTACGTTCAAGATCCCCAACATTGCTAGATTACCTCCCAACGAAGCTTCAGAGGTCTCCACCAGGTGCACATTGAAAGACTGTTTAATTACCTTTAAATTTAGAGCCAGGCCATGAATGGAAGATCTTTCAAGGAATGTGAAAGATTGTTTTTATATAGAACTGCATTGTTCTTTCTGGTGCTCATGATGCTATTTTTTTAATTCTGTGGTGTGTCTAAGCTGTTACCACAGCGAGGGATGATAACCAAGTATAAGCAGTTTCCAACGTACATTGTCTACTTATCTACAGTTGTAGCTCCTATTTCTTACAAGGTCACTAGCCTAGCAGTGAGATTTATAGACATGGGCTACCTGTTTTGTGATTAAAAGAATCTAACAGAAGCCAGGGTGAGCTGTCTATTGGGAGTGGAACATAAATCAGGATACTGCGGTACTTTTGCTTTCATGGGGATCTCTGAACACTGTAAATACTAAGAAACGTTGAAGGTTTGTTAGGTGCCAGCTGCCACTTAATTGCTTTTATTTGAGACTAATTTACCCTTGGTCTTCTTAAACTATGACCCTCCAGCCTGTATTTATGACGTTCTATATTGGTTTAAGTCTGAGCTCTGCAAAAAATAATTACCCTGGAATTTCAATATTCCACGCTGCTTTTGACTACACCTGAGGGAGAAAGGTACCGTCAGGCTGAAAGGGCAGCCCGGCACCAGAAGATACGGCGGTACCTGTCAGAAAAGCTGTCCAATCTCAAGAGAAATCAATACAAAGGTATGTGCATCTATACTCTAACTTCCTTAATTAAGTAATATACTATTTTGGGTCTCAAGTTTACAAGCAATTATTTTAAATGATGGTATAGATAAATTATTTAGAGGTTAATATATCTAAATGTTTATGCAAACAACTTTAAAGTAGTCTGTTGATCAGCTGACCACTTGAAAAAGGTTGTGGGTTGCTTGGTCGCTACTGCCATCCCATCAGGCCGTGCTCGCTCACTCTCCAAAAAGTTGCATGGTCACACAATTACAATGAAGCACGTCACTCTTACTGCCCCTTAGTCGTCTCTAGGCCCACTCTGCTGTTTACGTATGTAAATGGTTGTCCTGTGTTTGGACTCATTGCTGATCTCTGAATTGCCCTTGACATGTCCAGGCTCATCCCTTTGCTGCCTGTCCTCCCCCGATGCGTGGTCCCACCACGGACTGCCCATGCTGTTGCAGGTCTGCCATCGCTTGCACCTCATGTTGTAGCCTTTTTACCCTTTTCTTCATATTAATTTAGCTTAATTTATATATTTCCAATACTATTGAAATGGAACAGATGTACTATCGCAGCCAATATGAGCTGAAACGCCACTGCACGTGGCACGCGATGAGAGTTGTCTCTCAGATTGTTCAGCAAACCTTGGTATGCGTTGAGGTAGAAACAAATCACTTCTTGTGCTCGTTGCACCACTGTGCCGTTCCGTGTCAATTTTCAGCTCATAGTGGCGCAATGAGTGCAAGAAGCAACCTGCCTAAACCTCAGCAAACACAGAGGTTCACTGAAAATCCGACAGGTGGCTCTGATAGTACCACACGCCATGCGTCTTGGCGCTTCAACTAATATTGGTCACAATAGTACTTCCTCAAATGTTTCTGGTTTTTCTGAACCACCTAGCCATTCCGCCCAGCGAAACAATGTATGATTTCATAACTTCATAATAAAAACATCAAAGCAATGCAGCTTGTTTGACTTTATTCTTATTAGTAGCCGCATTCGCCGTACTCAAATGTCGGGCTGGCAACTACCAGTGTGCAGTGGACAATATAATTAAATTCTAAGTGGGATATGCACCTCGTCATGCTCCAGGCATGGCATAATTAAGTTTCCAAATTATGCATTCACATATTGTTGTGTTTTTTTAAGTTGTGGCCAACTCGAACTGTTTTAAATTAGCCATGAAACCACCATAATCAAACCGTAAAAAAATAGGCGTCTCAAAATACGACAGGTCACTCGACCATCAGACCAAACCAACAGACCATCAGGCCATCAAACCATCAGGCCATCAAACCATCAGGCCATCAAACCATCAGGCCAACAGACCATCAAACTATCAGGCCAATAGACCATCAAACCATCAGGCCAACAGACCATCAGGCCATCAAACCATCAGACGTCCCAAAATATGACTCCATCAGACCATCAGGATTTTCCTGATGGTCTTTTCGATAGGGGAGTGTGCCCGGGATTTCTCAACGGCGGCGGATGTTCGTTCCGCGTGATCGTGGTTTTCGCTAAGCATGCTACTGACGGCTGGTGCATCCGCGGCGACGGCGTCAGGAACGACATCGTGAGTGTGCCCGGGATTTCTAAACGGCGGCGGATGTTCGTTCCGCGTGATCGTGGTTTTCGCTAAGCGTGCTACTGACGCCTGGTGCACCCGCGGCGACGGCGTCAGGAACGACATCGTGAGTGTGCCCGGGATTTCTCAACGGCGGCGGATGTTCGTTCCGCGTGATCGTGGTTTACGCTAAGCGTGCTACTGACGCCTGGTGCACCCGCGGCGACGGCGTCAGGGACGACATCGTGAGTGTGCCCGGGATTTTTCAACGGCGGCGGATGTTCGTTCCGCGTTATCGTGGTTTTCGCTAAGCATGCTACTGACGCCTGGTACATCCGCGGCGACGGTATCAGGGACGACATCGTAGTGTGCCCGGGATTTCTCAACGGCGGCGGATGTTCGTTCTGCGTGATCGTGGTTTTCGCTAAGCAGTCTACTGACGCCTGGTGCACCCGCGGCGACGGTATCAGGGACGACATCGTGAGTGTGCCCGGGATTTCTCAACGGCGGCGGATGTTCGTTCCGCGTGATCGTGGTTTTCGCTAAGCAGTCTACTGACTCCTGGTGCACCCGCGGCGACGGCGTCAGGGACGACATCGTGAGTGTGCCCGGGATTTCTCAACGGCGGCGGATGTTCGTTCCGCGTGATCGTGGTTTTCGCTAAGCATGCTACTGACGCCTGGTGCACCCGCGGCGACGGCGTCAGGAACGACATCGTGGGTGTGCCCGGGATTTCTCAACGGCGGCGGATGTTCGTTCCGCGTGATCGTGGTTTTCACTAAGCATGCTACTGACGCCTGGTGCACCCGCGGCGACGGCGTCAGGGACGACATCGTGAGTGTGCCCGGGATTTCTCAACGGCGGCGGATGTTCGTTCCGCGTGATCGTGGTTTTCGCTAAGCAGTCTGGTGACGCCTGGTGCACCCGCGGCGACGGTATCAGGGACGACATCATGAGTGTGCCCGGGATTTCTCAACGGCGGCGGATGTTCGTTCCGCGTGATCGTGGTTTTCGCTAAGCATGCTACTGACGCCTGGTGCACCCGCGGCGACGGCGTCAGGAACGACATCGTGAGTGTGCCCGGGATTTCTCAACGGCGGCGGATGTTCGTTCCGCGTGATCGTGGTTTTCGCTATGCATACTACCGACGCCTGGTGCACCCGCGGCGACG